TGAAATTTTTGCCGCATTATTTCGTTCTCTTTTGTTGAAGGGAACACATGTAGCACTGTAACGCTTCCCTTGGTTTGTCCTCTTCTTCCAAACATTGGCCGAGAAGGTTGAGAGCTGTCTCCCTGTGACCAAAGTTTCTTCCTGTAAAGATAACCTCCACAAGGTTACTAAGTGCCCGTTGTTGATCCTGTTGTCTTTGCAGATGACCGTATGTTTTGTACTGTAAAAAGTATAGATAAGGGAGGGAATCAACAACAGCATAGTTCATCCATAGAATTTCGAACATACTTCTATATGGCATATCATCTTGAGTAGATCTCATCATTTCATACCGCAATTCTCGAGGCACACAATTTACTTCTGCCTGCAGGAATTTGACACAACATGATGTGATACTATTGATGCAATTTTCACTTAGTTCACTGCATTTTCTCTTAAATTCAGCAGACCGAATTGTATGTGGATATAACCAGCAGCCACATACAGGTTCAACAACAGTGGAGTTATACCGACTTTCTGTTTGTCTCAGAATGAACTTTGCTCTATCCATATCACCTACACAGTAGAACATTGAAGCTAGTTTAAGTCTGCCAGATGTGACATCTGAGTTTAAACCCAATGACAGCCACTTTAGTGCTTCATATTGAACTAGATTATTGTGTTCAATACTTGATGACTCCATGATTAGGCCTAGTGTAGAACAAAGAAATGGTGCCATATAACGACTTGCAAGCTGTTCAAGTCTATTTCCCTCTCCACTGTAGTATTTTAGCCTTAAGATAATTTGTTTGTGATTACATATGTGGCCATTTGACAAACACTTGAAAATATGTAATAGCCATCCGCTTATCAGTTTCATGAAGCTGAAGAAAAGACTAGACGAACAGTGTTCATATATTTCCAGCGAGGTTTGAAAACTACACGCAAAATGAACAATTGTACTCAGTTTGACTTGTAGTCTCTGGCTAATATTATCCATGCTTATTCGTAGAAAACATCTTCCATCGCTCTGTATTATGTCACATAATTTCTGTAAAACGTCTCGCTTCTCTTCAGCTGTAAATTGTCCGGCCATTAAGTTGTTATCAGAAATAATGAAATGCGGGCAATTTTCATTTTGAAGATGGCTATTGAGTTCAAGCAAGCAGTAAGATAAACATATAAAAAGATTGTCCCTTTTCCATATGTTTTGTTCTGTATTTTCTATACAATGCAATAAAACTGTTTTGCACATAAAACTTGACAGAGCATTCACTGTGTGGGGATTCAGAATGTTTTTCAAAATAATTTTCATTAAAACATAGCATTGTAATTGCGTAATATTTAAATTGAACATCAAACATCTCTCTAGTAGAGAAGTAGATATTCTCCACTCTATTTCTGGATAAGTAGCAATCTTGCTACTAGTACCAACAACAAAACAATCACAGCTAGCAGCATATCTGACACTTTCAGATGATAACCACCTCATAACACCGGGTCTTTCTAGGAAATGTTGAAGTTGTGAATTACAAGGGAAAGCAAATACAATGTGAAGTTCGTGGTATCCTTTTACCCTGGAGACAGCATTTGATGGCCCATGTCGCTCAGTATTTTCTCGCTTAAAGCTTGTTCGGAATGTATTTCTTAATATTATTCTCCCTATGCTATCTCTTATGTAATGTTCATGAGGAATGTTTGTCTCAAAAAGAGGTTCATCAGATCGAAGTAGTTGTAGAAAACAATATCCTGGTGTTACATTCTCATCCTGTATCATAAGAAGATTTTCTCTTACTTTGTTCCCACTCTGCCCAGTCTTGTATCACATTATAGTCATAATCTACAATGACCATGTCAAGATCTGAACAAAGTCCTATAGTAGTGGTACCTTCAGACTGACTCCCAAGATGATATACAGTTGTCTTTTCACCAATTAATCTGGATGTAATCGTGTCTAAACTCTCCCTCAGCATGAACATTCTTCTTCTTCTCGTCACCATTTTCTCATTAACACCAACATCCTCTAATACCTCAGATAATTTCAGTGACAAAGATCTACAATATTCAGGTGACTGAAACATTCTGTAATGATAAAAAATATGTATCCTTATCAAAACATAGGAATGCGATTATGACAATATATGGAATTATGTGTATTAATTACTAGATATTAAACTTGAGTAAAAAATGACCTGAATTAAATTTGTTATTAATAATTCAAAGGTAGATTTTTTTTCTCTTCTTTATATTATAAGTTTTTTTATGTTAAAATGTTCAATAATTGTTTTAAATTATCTTAAATATAACAGATTTACATTTATCAAATAAACTGCGGCGCAGGAGTGTAATAAAGCTATTAATTATGTACTTTTCGGTAGTTTATAGAAATATATCAGTGAAAAAAACTGACATTTCACTGTTTGAAACAGTGAAATTATCAATTTGATAATTTTCACTGTCCTTTACTTTATTTCAGTGAAATACCGGCGTGCACAGTATAAACATTGCGTTAAAACGCGCTAATGTTAGCGTTACACTGTAGGTGCGTCAATAAAAATTGACTCTTTTTAACAGTTTACCGTTGTTATTTTATATATGTCATAAATAGAATATTATATTCGTGTAGATTCAATACTAAATTATTGAACTCGACTGAGGCTCGCATAATATGATTTTATTTAACTCGTTCAATAAATTTAGTATTAAATGTTCAATATCCTCTATTCAAGTATCAAAACTGTAGAAACTAACCTAGAAGTAATAGATTTTTTCTTACCTGTACCAATTTGTATTTTTTCACCATCGTTATAATTTTATATGCAATAGTCATTTATTACGTCACAAATAAAGCTGATATAAAATTACGACTAAACATCAGTTACAATTTAATGGAAAATAAACAGAACTTGTAGTCTACATGTATACATGATTATTATATCAAAATTATCAAATATATATTAAACTTACTTTTAATTGTGCGAATTTTTGTCTTATATTTATGACGGTAAACATACACTTCCAAGGGTGATTCGTAAAATTTCCAATTTTTACTTCCTCTTTCGAATTTCAATGGTCGGAAAGATAACTCTTGTAGTATGAGTAGCTACATGGTTTCCGCTTTATAGTTTCCCTTGGATCAAACTTGTGAAAAAATACTTAAGAAAGTTAAAAGTCATGATTGTGACTGAACATTTTTTTCACCGATCATCCGTAAATTAAGCGATAGCGCCAATGATGACGTTGTCAATATTCTTAGAAAACAAGGAAAATAAATAAAATATTATATTTTCATCAGTTGAAGAATAATATTATTTTTTTATCATTACCTACCTTACAAGTTCTTAGTAAGAATTTCGAATTATTTTACTATAGGACAGTTGGACGAGAAGATAAAACTCTTTAACGTTGAGACATCGTCAAATTTTCAAGTAATAAATATCGAGACATATTATACCTCATTTGCATATGCTCTTCTTTATTTGATATGACGTCATCCGGTCCATAAACCGCATACAGACCGGGGGCGGTCCATAATTCTTATGAAGACCGTTTAAACGTAACTTTCACGACGTGCGAATTTCACGACGACACAAACAGACGATGACTGTCTAAATGGCCAGGCGACTCACTTTTTTATCAGAGACATTAAATTCATTACATGTTGATCAAAAGTCATGATTTGTCTTTAATTTAATTATAAATTTATTCATGCAGTTTGTGAAATTCTTAAAGTCCGGGTTATTTGCATTGAAAAATTAAATATTTAATTTCGTTAACAAAAATAGAATATTAAAAGAATAACATGATTTTTAGCTGCATCGATAGAAAATAATTAAAAAAAAAACCGATTAGGTTTTGAGATATTTCACACACTGAACAAATAAAATTATTATTTGAAAGCAAATAATAGTAAAATGACAGCAAAAAAAAAAAACAAATGGATGAAAGGATTTAGATTCGGTATAATATAACAAATAAAACATGGCCTTTCGGGCAAAATGCAAGTTTACGGACTGGTTGGTCAGACCTCGGAAGGAATATGGCCCTCAGCTGCGCTTCGGGCCATATACCTTCCTCAGTCTGACCAACCAGTCCGTAAACTTGCATATTGCCCTCAAGCCCATTTATTATTTGTTAAATAATTCATTTTGAATATATATGTTCAATATGAATAATACTTTTTTTATTGATTTTGAAGTAAAACCATTTAGTACCATTATCTCACAAAATATATTTATATATAATATATATACATTATGTTTGGACCAATGAGATTGCAGCTATTATTAGATCATATAATAAATTTAATGATATCATATTTTATCATATCATATATCATATGAAATCATATTATACATGAATTTTAAATGTAATATTGTAAACGACCATAATTATGGCATCTTTGCAGTCTTATTTTTTCCGTGAATATTAATTGAATTCATCGGACTGATGAGGCGGGAAAGCCACAAAGTGACAGACAGCCCATTTGTACTTTATTGCGTTATTTCAGTTTACAGTTTTCACCTAGAATAAAGTGGAAGAGTTCAAAATTACAATCTTAGCTTCACTAACTCATAACGGCGATAAGTCTCTCTGTCGGGCGACTTATGATTAGGATGAAGACAAAGACTGAGAGATTAACTCGAAACAAAATACAAAGAAATTATTTGATTTGTCAATCTTGTTCAGCAGGAGACTTTGAAGGTGAATTTGATTCAAAATTCATAGCGTTAATATCAAAATAATATTTTATAAATCCGAGTATATTAAGCTTTGTAAATCAGCAGTGTATTGGCTAACGTGTTCAATATTAAATGATGAGTATGAATAGAAAAAAATATTGATGTGATTTTAGTTTTTATCTATATATTTGTTCATCCTCATTTAACAGAGCCTTAAAAAAGATCCACCAAATACATGTACGATTACTAATATGAATGATCTTCTTCTATATTATGGCAGTGATTGTTTACACTGAAAAGTATCTGTTACCTGAAATTATGCTATATGACGATGCACTATGAACAAGTCAACGAAATAAAAGTTCTGTTGTGATTTCTATCGAAATATCTTTATTTATTTTCACTTCATGTCCGTTCGATTTCAGTCGGAACACCTCAACGATTATTCATAATAAACCTCACCCTAACATTGACGGCAAGGTCAAACAATTGCGATTGGGATAATTGGTGACCAATGCCATTATCAAATAACAAAAATATGCGTTTTGAAAAAAAGTTTTAAAATAGATGTGAACTTGCTGAATCGGACGGACAATATAAGATATAATGAATGTTAGAAAATAGAATATTAAAGGCTTTTTTGGGGTTGTTAAATAAGAAAGATATTAAGGGTTAATTTCTGTTTCATAATGCAAGTTTTTTTTATACTTTATTGAAATTGTCAGTATGAATAACGTTATTTTGTCACGTTCCTTATTCCATTCAGTTTGGTATTGACACCACAGAAAGAAAAGCAAATTCTGTGAGTTGTTATGGTAATCTGTTCAAAGATTTCATTTGTAGGCCATCTCTGAGTTACAATGGTAATCTGTTCAAAGATTTCATTTGTAGACGATTAAGAAGTAGCAATGCTAAACTGTTCAAAGAATCCATTTGTATGCCTTCTGTGAGTTACAATGGTTGACTGTTTAAGGAATCCATGTGTAGGCCATTTGTGAGTTACAATGGTACTCTGTTTTAAGAAAACGTTTTGTAGTCCATCTGTAAATTACAATGGTAATCTTTTTGAAAAAAAAAACATTTGTAGGCAACCAGTTACATTGATAATATGTTCAAAGTAACCAGCTTTCTCGAACAAACGAATATTTGTTCACTGACTGCTCGTATCTCAGCTGATAATGCCAATGACCAATCAAAGAAACCACTAAGCAAACTGGCAATGAAATTATTGGTATATAGACCTTTTTACAATACGATTTTCCATAGTAACGAATGTTGCATTTTGCACATGCACATTCTGCGTAGAGCAAAAACGATGACTACAACTTATCATATTTAAAAGCTTTAATAAACGTGATTTTAAGTTATGCACACTGAAAACAGTAATTTTGGGATGACTTTAAATCAGTAAGTAACAATGTAACCTCCGAAAATAATACGGCATAATTCAATAATATTGTGATTGAAAGGATCTCCGACAATCAGAATCAATCAGAATCAATTGTAGAATAACACGTGACACACGATTGTATAATCAATCTGAAATACATTTTGCAGCATTAATTACAATATAATAATCAGCAAATGAATACAGCTTTTGCATCTTCCAATTAATGTAGTATAAATCAAATTCAACAAAATATTGTAACAAAAATGACTAAATAATTTCAAGATATTGCTGATAACTTATGTCAATGTTAAAAGAGTATATTAAACCGAATCACCATAATCTGACTGCCCCTTGATTAGTTGATTATGCCAATGATATAATCAACTGCATTAAAAAACTTGTCAATTTGTTTTCATTGGATATTAAAATTGCCTTATTGTTTCTAAAATTCATGCATAATGTCATTCTCAATAATAAACATAATCAATTTTCAGTTACTTAGAATGGGAAAAGGCACAGTGTCTGGTGTGGTGTCGGTAGACACCACGGACATTATAAAAGAAAGAGTAATATTCGCTATGGCTCTAATTTGTTGTGTACTTAACTACCTTAATATATGTTTGGATCAGCATCATTAAACGCAGTACCATCTGAAGTATGATCTATTTTAATACAATTTAGCTGTTTTATCTTGACAATTTTTAGTCGATACAGAATTTTAGTTCGATTATGTAGGAAGCTTATAGAAAAATTCCGTTCCTGGAACAAACCAGTAGTGAACAATGGATATTATGATTGTTTCAGGAAACAATGGTTTGCTTCTGATGGGGTTGGAATCCATGCGGATACCGATCCTTAGATTACTAGTCCGGTATATTAACCACACAGAGGACACTTTTTTATCTTTACGAGCAGTAGTAATTAACTATATACGTTCTATAAAAATTCAATAAAAAATTCTTCAATCAGGATTTTCAGATCTTTTTACATTTAAAACTTTTACCTATTAGAATGGGAGTGTTCATCATAAACTTACTTGTCTGTACAGTCTATATAATATGATAGATGTTGATATTATAATATTGTGTAATTTTCTAGAAAGGAACACGTCACAAGAAAGAAAAAGGAGACTGCATTGTTTCACTTAGTGTGATAGCTTTGTCTAAGGGTAATTATTGCATGTGGGTACAACTAACTGCTGTGAATAACGATTGTTATTACATTCAGTGGTTGAAGATACAGTTAAGAATGCTTAGGGATTTTATCTGATGGGACACTTTTCTACACAACTTTAAGTTTGGTGATATAAATGTAAAATTAAAGTGTATTATCTCCAAGATTTCTACGCGATGTTATGCTATACTATTATTCATGTAAATATATCAATGATTGTGTCATTTTAATTATTTTTGAAGGCCTGTCTCTGCGAGAGAAAATGGCATGCCTTTAATGTAGAGAGCAATGCAGAAAGTATTTTTGTTATGAATATAAAACTAAAAAATAGATTAAAAGAAAAGAAAATGGTAATTAATGGATATCTGGGAATTTTTAGATGGATCGACCGCCCAGATAGGACAAAAACATCTGTTAAAATTGGCGGTAAAATACAGAAAATATAACATTATTTTAGCTCCACTTTTCAAAGTATAGTAGGGCCATCCTACTCACACGTCGGGTGCGTAGCAGAGGGGTTAAAGTTTTGCATGTCACGTTATATTTTATCAACCACTAGAGATAATTGCTTGTTTCTTCACACGGTTACTAGAGAGAAGGTCATTCTCCTAGGCACATAACCTATCTTTGTATCCCGCATTAAACTTCAAAACTACTAAAGATATTCATTTGAAGCTTTATACAAATCTTCAAAATCATAATTGGAGGTCAGTAACAAAGGTCCATAATTTTATCATGGATTGTGACAGAATTAAGACCCTTTTAAACTTAAAACATCTAAGCTCAAGTTTATTGATGCAACATCAAATTTCTTTTGAAGCTGTTCCACGAAATTTAATATCTGTTTTGTGGGTTATTTATGTAAGATCATAATTGGAGGTCACTTTCCAAGTCCCTTAACTCTCACATTGGTTTTGACTGACCTATGAAGCATTTTGAATCACGTTAAGCTTGCAACATTAATCTTTCATTAAAATACTGATTGTGTTCACTTGATCCTTCATGTTTCTTGAACAGCAATTCATGGTTACTTTTCAAGACCTTTATCTCTGGCATAGGTTTTAAATAAAATAAGGCTCTTCGTGAACTTTACAGATATCGTTGATCAACATTCAAGACTCATAACCATATCAAGTACATTTTTATATTGATTTTATGTGAATGAAATTTTCTTCCTTGTTACTTTTTACATTATCCCGACTCTTATATATCACAGAATATCTGACGATAGTCGATCACGCTGTAAATTCGACAGGTCTTGTCAGAGCTCTCCTTTCCCACGCCTGTTATTTTGATAGGTCGGACTTTTCCACTCTCATGTATATTTTAAGATCTAGAGTATAAATTTTCAATTTTCAAAGTTTGAAACATGTTTTAAAGACGGTGTTTTTGGCTGAAGTTATAAAAACATCGTCTCCTGTAGCCGATCTTGCTTCGTATAGTTCCTGCAGCCTAATTTAGCGAATTATTGCAACAAATTTTGGTTCTGTTAACTGTTAAATGACAGTATGCCCACCAAAGGATATAATAGTAAGTGTATTAGTGAAGTAAAAAAAAACTTTATATTTTGCAATATTTCCTTTCAACTTTACTATTTACTTTGCATGAACGATAAATAACTCATGAGGCCTAAGGTAATTTTTGCAAATATCCATGGGAATTTATTTGTAATTTTCACATCTTAGAAAGAGAAGGTAGTATTTTTATACTTTAGGCAGATTTATATTTTATCCTAAACATTTCTATTGTCGGTCATCACCATTACAACAGTCATTTTTTTAATTATATTATCTATATAGATTATAAATTTAATTTGAAATACTCATGTATAGATCGATTAACTTGACAGTGACAAAATGAGCATATTAGAATATAAATACCGGCACTTTGAGGACATGCTGTATATGATTCATCAGACAAATTTTAATGTTTTCACCGCGTCCAAAAATGTCTACATGTTGCAATAAATTTATGCTTAAGATTTTATAGCCTTTTTAGCGTTTTTAAATTTTCTACTGTCCAAAAAGAAATGAAGACTTTAAAGCAAAGATCACATGATCGTGCGTGCAAGTAATATTGTAGCAATGGCAAAAACTGATATTGGAAAGATAACATCATTGTTTAAATTGATTATTAAGAATGTTTTTATGAGTCGTGCAGCATGTAATTTTCAAATTTTTCGATGGACCCTGACATGGTGACAACACGTCATTTCAGTCTTATTGATTGTTCCGGCACGAGCGGATTTTAGAATAGAACCGTCATCTCGCTGTTAGCTAGATGGCCCATAGCTCCCTCACATCAATGTCTCTGGCAAGATAGATAGCTATAAGGGGCACGTGACTTTAACCTATAAGCCCAACAAAAGAACATTAATAGTAATAATCATTATATATATATATAAACTATAGTTTACTAAGCCCCGCACAAAAAGAATGTCAATATTAATAATCATAATATTTATATCAGTGCGGACAAGAATACATATAATATCTAACATTCGACTTAAGGTTGTCCGCAAAGGACTATAATCAGTGTCTGTTGACGTTATTTCCGAGGTTAACTTGTTGTCCGATGTTAACTAGAAAAAACATCAGATGACAGAAATTTTCTGATTAAATAGATGTCCTGGGTCGATCGTTCAGATCTAGCGGTCGACTTGATTTTCGCTGAACTATATGGTTCTATTTTTTATAATTTCTGGGGCCGAGTGGCTAAAGTATTTGACATTAGCTACTGGCTCTCAACAATGGTTCGAATTCTACCAGGGACGTCGTTCACGTAAGGAAGCTCTTCAGATAACTCACGCAAGATCTGTGGCTTCACCCTGGGTTCCAATTGTACCGGATATAATGCAAGGAAGGGCATTCGATGGCTTTCTTCCACCATAAATACTGGAAAGTCTCTATTTAGTTTTTACAGCGTTAAGAGCCAACAATAAACTTGAAACAAAACAACGGACACATTGTTAAAAAATTGTATTTTCATCAATGATTTAATCCTTGGATACATTATATCATAATTACATGAACTTAATAAATATGATGTTTATTTTTATGTTATGATCACAATACAACTTTGGTTTATTTGTTAAAACGGCATTCAAGAATATAAAGGTATAAATGCAAATTTACTGAAAGTTTGTGTCAAACTAACAAGAGACAACATTTTGGTAAATTACACAATTTAACAAACATTCTAACGTTGAACTCAAACATTGTTATTTTACCCGTTGAGGGAACTTTGAACCTCTACCTGTTTGAAGCATACTTTCTAAGTAAATTACAAATATGAAATTTTGCCGCATTGTTTCGATTTCTTTGATGAAGGGAAAACATATAACACTGTAACGCTTTCCTTGGTTTGTTCTCTTGTTCCATACATTGACCGAGAAGATTTAAAGCTGTCTCCCTGTGGCCAAAGTTTTTTCCTGTAAAGATAACCTTCCCAAGGTTACTAAGTGCCCGTTCTTGATACTGATGTCTTTGTAGATGACTGTATGTTTTGTACTGTAAAAAGTAAAGATAAGGTAGGGAATCGACAACTGCATAGTCCATCCATAGCCTTTCATCTTGATTTCTGTGTGGCATATCATCTGGTGTAGATCTTACCATTTCATGTTGTAATTCTCGAGGCACACAATTTACTTCTGTCTGCAGGAATCTTACACAACATGATGTGATACTTTTGATGCAAATTTCACTTAGTTCACTGCATTTTCTCTTGACTTCAGGAGACGGACTTATGAATGGATGAAACCAGCATCCACATACAGGTTCAACAACAGTAGAGTTATATCGACTTTCAGTTTGTCTAAGAACGAACTCTGCTCTATCCATATCACCTACACAATAAAACATTGAAGCTAGTTTAAGTCTGCCAGATGTGACATCTGAGTTCAAACCCAATGAAAGCCACTTAAGTGCTTCATATTGAACTGGATTATTCTGTCCAATGCTTGATGACGCCATTATAAGGCCGAGTGTCGAATATATAAATGGTGCCAGACAATGACTTGCGAGCTGTTCCATCCTATTTCCGCGTACACTGTAGTTTTTTAGCTTTAAGATAATTTGTTTAAGATTACATATGTGATCATTAAAAAATTTTTTTGACAAAAACGCGACAAACACTATTTGGTCTCCGCTAATCCCTTTCATTAAGCTTAAAAAATGTTGAGTCAAAACATCTACATATATCTCAAGTGAGGTTTGAAATCTATATGCAATATGAACAATTGTACCCAGTTTGATCCGAAGTCTCTGGCTAATACCATCAATATTTATTCGTAGTAAAAATCTACCATCGCTCTGTACTATGTCACATAATTTCTGTAAAACATCTCGCTTCTCTTCAGCTGTAAATTTTCCAGCCATTAAATTGTTTTCAGAAATAATGAAATGCGGACAGTTTTTATTTTGAACATGACTATGGAGTTCAAGCAAGCAGTAAGTAAAACATGTTAAAAGATTGTCTCTTTTCCATGTGTTTTGTTCTGTATTTTCTATGCAATAAAACAAAATTGTTTTACACATAAAACTTGACAGAGCATTCCTTTTTTCGGAATTTAAAGAGGATTTCAAAATAATTTTCATTAAAACATAGCATTGTAATTGCGTAATATTTAGATTGAACATCAAACATCTCTCTGCTAGAGAAGTAGATATTCTCCACTCTAATTCTGGATAAACAGCAATCTTGCTACTGGTACCAACAACAAAACAATCACAGCTAGCTGCATATCTGACACGTTCAGATGATAACCACCTCATAACACCTGGTCTTTCTAAGGATTGTGATGCTGATTGCGACCATGAATTACACGGAAAAGCCAATACACTGTCATTGTCAATATATCCGTCACACCTGGAGACAGCTGATGGCCCGTGTCGCTCATATTCTTGTCGGAAAAATGTTGTTTGGAATATATTTCTTAATAATATTCTACCATTGCTATCTCTTTATGAAAATTTTACTAGGAATGTTTGTCTCAGGAAAAGGTGCATCAGATCGAAGCAGCTGTAGAACACAATATCCTGGTGTTACATTATCATCTTGTATTATAAGAAGATTGATCTTATTTTGTTTCCACTCTGACCAGTCCTGCATAACATTATATCGATAATTTACTAATACCGTATCAAGATCTGAATGAAGTCCTAAAGTAGTAGTACCTTCAGACTGACTCCCAAAATGATATATAGGTCCGTTCGAACCAACTGATTTAAATGCAATCGTTTTTAAACTCTCCCTCAGCAGCATTATTCTTCTTTTTTTTGTCACCATATCCTCATTAACACCAATGTCTTCTAATACCTCAGATAATTTAATTGACAGAGTCTTACAATATTCAGATGACTGAAACATTCTGCAATGATAATAAATATGTATCTTTGTCAAGGCATCAAAATGTGTTCATGATAGTATATAGTAATATGTTGTAACTTACGTTACCAATGTTTTTATGCCAGGGTGTTACAAACGTTGTTGCTAACATTAGCGATAAATTAGAAGATGTGGTTAACGAATACAATAAATAGTGCATAAGATTACATCATTACATATATGTTATAATAGAAATTTATTTCCCCAATATATTTCTTAATATAAAACCATTGACCAATAATAGTGTAAAAATACGCATAAAGTTATTTATTTTCTTATTTCTCGGTTTTGAACAAGAGAATAATAAAACAGAGCTTTATTTTATTACATGTTAAGGCGGTATTGATAAAAAATATAAACTGTACCTAAATATATTAATTACTTTTATTTGTACGATTAAGAGGTTCTAATTCATATATTTCTGAAAATTGATATCTAAAAATCAAACCTAAAAGTAATACCTGTCTAGTTATTTCCTTTTTGTTCTAATTTTTATTGTTCACGTGAAACTATTTCTTTCGTTATAATATATCTATATTTATCGTGTAGTATAAATCTTTGATTTCTTTTATCTATGTAGTGCTCGTATAATGTGAACGAACGAACAATTTATCTAATGAAGCACATCTTTATCTAGTAAGGTAATTCAAAATGGGGTTGTAAGGGTAGTAAGATTTTGTACTAAGCGTAGTACTTAAGAAATTACAGGTAAATTATTTTCTTAATTTCTGTCCATAGTTTAAAGTATTGACAGTTCATTTTTCAGATTCAATTTATGGCTCAAAGCTAAATATCTTTAAGAGGTTACAAAGGTAAAGTTAATCTTCGAGCTGGCATAAAGTTCAACTTTGTGAGAAAATTCGACTAAATGTCTATCTTCGACCCGACTCAAAAATTGACTTCAAGTAATGTAAACTATCAAATTTAACCGAAATTCAAGTCGTGCTCTAAATTCAGCTTTTAGAGTATATGGAATTAAATCTTCGAGCTTGAACGAAACAGAGGTGAAGCAACATTTTACTTATGTACCGCTTATATTTTGAATTGTTTTCTCCGATCTGACAGGAAATCGACTCAATCTCACTCTTAATCTACTAACGTCAATTTTGATTTTCATTTCTTCACTTACTTGAAAAATAGACTCCAGTAGAAAATTAAAAAATCATGAAATATGAGCATTTGAAATAAGTTCTGCAAGCTGGCTAGAAATTCATCTCGGGAATCGTCTAAAGAATTCTTATCTTCAAACTTCTTCAAATTCAGCTACAGCACGAAATCCCCCTTTATTGAATTTTGAAATTCAACCTTCGACCTCAAAATTCAAAGCTTGGTCGAAATTCAGTGCACAGAAACGAACTCCGGTCTCTGTGCTAGCTCAAACATCAACTCACAATATTTCAATATTTTATAACGACTGAAGTGTATACATTGTAGATATGATATAAATGTTAGGTTGTTATTATCATAAACTAAATAATAACTGTTTTCATTTGTCTGTTTTTCGTTCGTTGCGTAAGTTCTTTGTTCCTTGGATGACGTCATAATATCACAGGAAGTCAATGTTATATAGTGCAGACACATAATAAGATATTTGAAGTCAACGTAATTCAGTCAAGCCTTTTTATAACAAAATGCAGATTTTGCGCCAGGACCTCAGACCTATGTCGTAAATACTGAGAAAATATAAGTGGCCAGAGTCGATATAAGTATCTAACTGATTCAATGTAATGATAAATGATAGTTTAATAGTAATAATAGTTTATAGGTGATTATGTGAATATTTTGTACTGGCGTAAAAAATCGAACCATCTATAAGACTTTTAGGACTGCCTTATACAAGTCTTTAAAATCATAACTGAATGTCACTAACAAAGGCCCATAAGTGCAACTTAATTTTGACAGAACAAAGACCCTTTTTAAACTTTAAAAAATCTTAGTTCAAGTTTTGGTGTAACATTAAACTCCTTTTAAGGTATTCACATGATATATAGTACAAGTTTGTTGAGATCATAACGGGAGGTCACTATTCAACTCCCTTAACTCACAAATGGATTTTGACAGAATTATGGTCTTTTTTTAATGTTTTCCGCAAAGAACTAGACTCAATATCCGCTGTTGATATGCTTTCTGAGATTGACTTGTTGTCAGAGTTTGACAAGAAATACCATCAGATGACAGAAGTTTTGCGACATTATAGATGTCCTCGGTCGATCGTTCGGATTTAGCGGTCGCTTTCATTTCTCTGAACTGAAGCTTATGTGTTTATAGTTGTTCTTTTGTAATATTTTGTAGGAGCAAGTGACTGAGGTCCTTGACATTAAATCACTTGCCCTCACAGTTTTTTGTTCGTATCCTGCCAGCCACGTTCAATTCAGTCACGTAAGTATAGATAACTTACAAAAAGTCTTACTCGATTTGATGCACAGAGTCTTTAAAATGTAGGTTTAGCTTAAAAGAAAACTTCAAACAAAAAAATCGCACACAATACTTATACACAATATTTTCATCAATGATTTAATTCTTGAACATATTAAATCCTATTTACATGTATTTAACAAATGGTAAACTTATTAAGATGATACGATCACGGTATAAGTTTGGTGCTCTCAAATTTTTGTTTATAAAAACGGCATACTAGAATACGGAGATATAACTGCAAATTGACAGAAACTTTGTAGCAACCTTAAAAGCAAGCACAATTTTTTGAAATGTACAATTCAATATACTTTCTTGAGTCTTACTCAACCTCTTTATATTACAAGTATAGAGAACTTTTACATGTTTGAGACGTATTTTCTAAGTAAATTACAAATATGAAATTTAGCTGGACTGTTTCTTTCTCTTTGTTGAAGAGAAAGGAAATAACATTGTAAGGCTGCCCTAGGTTTGCACTTTTGTTCAATACATTGACCGAAAAGGATGAGAGCTGTCTCCCTGTGGCCAAAGTTCCTTCCTGTAAAGATAACCTCCACAAGGTTCCAAAGGGCTCGTTGGTTGTTTATCCTTATGCCTTTGTAGATAATCACATGTCTTGTAATGATAGGGGAGGGAATTAACAACAGGATGGTTCATCAATAGCCTTTGATTTAGACGTCTGTGTGGCACATCATCTAGTATAGATCTCATTATTGCATATCCTAATTCTCTAGAACACTATTTCTGACTGCAGAAATCTGACACAATGATGTGATATGACATTTACAATTTCCACTTAGTTTACTGTATTTTCTCTTAAATTCAGCTGATCGACTTGTCGGGGGATGAGACCAGCATCCACATACAGGTTTAACAACAGTAGAGTTATATTGACTTTCAGTTTGTCTCGAAATGAACTCTGCACTAGCCATATCACCTACACAGTAAAACAACGATTCTAGTTTCAGTCTGCCAGATGTGACGTCTGAGATTAAACCTAATGACGGCCACTTAAGTGCTTTATATTGAACTTGATAATTATATCAAATACATGATAACGCCATAACTAGACCTAGTGTGGACAAATAAATGGTGCAAGACAACAACTTGCCAGCTGTTCCTCTCTATTTCCGCGTATATCGTAGTATGTAAGCTTGAAGATAATTTGATAGAGATCACATGTGGTCATTTGACAAATATATAAATAATTGCACTCTACTTTATGCATGTTTCCACTTACGTCTTTACATTATTATTAACCAGTAAATTGATATCTAGTCATGAGAAAGATAGATAAATTTGCTATTGTCTGAAAAGTAATTTTTAGATTTTGTTTTTAATTATTATTATTTTTTATTATTTATTGAGCCTCCTGTGATATTTATGTTTGACAAACTTCCAAAATATTTTATTTTGTGTTATAACTTTTATTTAAAATGTATAAGTGTACATATGTGTGTTTTAAATTGAATATCCATCCATCCATCCATCTACCCAAAATCCACACATCCATCCATCCATCCATCCATCCGTCTATCTACTTCATCTATCTGTAATGGGCATGTGCTTATGACTTCCAAAATGAGCGATAAAAATGAATACACACATTTTTCATGCACCGCAATAGGGGTTTGAAAACTAAAAGCAAAATGAACAACTTTACTCAGTTTGACCTGTAGTCTCTGGCTAATATTATCAATGTTTATTCGTAGATAACATTTACCATTGCTTTGTATCGTGTCTCGTAATTTCTTTAAATGTCTCGCTTCTCTTCAGTTGTAAATCGTCCGGCCATTAAGTTGTTTTCAGAAATAATGAAATGAAGCAATTTCGAACATTTCTGTAGAGTTCAAGTATGCAATATGTTAATCATGTTAAAAGATTGTCTCGTTTCCTTATATTTTGTTCTGTATTTTCTATTTAATGTAGCAAATTATTTTTAACATAAAACTTGACAAAGCATTATTTTTTCCGAAAATAAAAAATGATTTCAAAATGATTTTCATTAAAACAGCATTTAATTTGCATAATATTTAAATTTAACATCAAACATCTCTCTGTTAAAGAACTTGACATTATCCATTCTTATTCTTAATAAGTAGCAAAATTGCTACTAGTATCAACAACTAAACAATCACAACAAATAGCATATCTGTCCTTTCCAGATGATAACCATGTCATATAATCGGATCTTTCTAGAAATTGTGATGTTGATTTTGGCCATGCATTACAAGAAAAATCAAATACAGAGTCACTGTCACAACATTCGTCATTCCCGGTGACAGCATTTGAGGCCAGTGTCGCTCAGAGTTTTTTATGTTTATAGTTGACCTTAATGTATTTCTTAATAATATTCTCCCATTGCTATCTCTTATGCATTGTTCATTAGGATTTTTTGTCTCAAAGAGAGATTCATCAGATCGAGGTCGTTGTAGAAGACAATGTCCTAGTGTTACATATTCACCCTGTATCATAAGAAGATTGGTCTTATTTTGCGATCTGCCCAGCCTTGTATCACATAATAATCATAATTTATAATTACCATGTCAACATCTGAATTAAGTCATATAGTAGTGGTCCCTTCAGGCTGACTCCCAATATGATATGCAACAAACTTCTTATCCTTTAATCTCGATGCCATCGTTTTTAAACTCTCTATCAGCAACAATGGTCTTCTTTTCTTTTATAACCATATCCTTATTTACACCATCGTCTTCTGAAACCTCAGATAATTTAAGTGACATAGTGTTACAATATTCAGACGAATTAAACATTCTGTAATAATAATAATAATAATAATAATAATAAATATGTATCCTTGTCTTAGTATAAGAATGCGTTTATGATCATGTAGAATAATTTGTTGTAGATCAGGGCTTTTAGCAGGTCAGTCATTAATAAATGCAAAGTTATTCTCCCTGAGGAAAATCACAGTGCCCCTAGTTGTCTGGTTAGTGACATTATCATGTTAAAAAAGGGTGATATTGGCATTATTTTGAAACAGTAAGATAACATACCTCCCATGAATTCATCTTGGTAGCGTTGGACATTCAAATTCCCTTCAGAGAAAAGAACCAATTCCATTGTTGCTAAGCCAGGGTTGATGTGTATGCGCACAAATAACACGATTTACGCGGTGTCGACGCCTTACAAAACAGCCAACGTATGGTCGACGTCC